TTTTTGTCCATATTTAGCTATTACGTGACAAGTTTATGATAAAAAATTGTTAGCAATCTGGACGTTGTCTGGTTGAAGGACCATATAGAAACATATTCAATACTTCGGGAACTAAAATGATGCAATTGAAATATTAGAGATCAAAATGAGACAAATCTCATATTTTGAGGATCTCTAGTGCAATTAACCCTAAAAACTATCAAAACTTAGAAATATAAATTCCACTAAGAACTACAAGTCAACTTATTCTACAACCACATATAACAAGACATGAAGTTCCAAAAAAGTCAAAACCAAAATTTCTAATTGTAATTACACAACTTGATTCACAGTAAGATGTAAACTTACACTACTATATAGCACCCTAAATTTAGATTTAAAGACAAAGAATATTATTAGCAGTGAGATAATAAGGGATCGTTTGATAATGTTTTTGTTTTCGTGTCTTGAAAAAAATTAAAAACAGAGATAATTTTTGTCTTTGTTTAGTGATAAACACCAAAACAAAAAATATGTTTGAGAGTCATTTTTGTCTATCAAATTATGAGAATAAAAACAAAAAATATGTTTGGTAATGAATTCAAATTTTATCCTAAATATATTTGGTATCTATTTGGCAATTAAATCCCAAATCAACACAACACACACACGCACGCACAGATCTTCTTCCTCACAATGGAGGTCATGGCTTGAAGGCAATTACCTATCCTCTTCTTCACCTTCTATGCACAAATCTGTGTATATATGCACAAATCTGTGCATATATACATATGATCTGTGCATATATATGCACAATTTCGGGGTTTCACAGAGAAGAGGGAGAGAGGAGAGAGGTAGCGATGGGGAGGAGATAGGCAACGATGGGGAGGAGAGGCAGCGATGGGGTTTCTTCTGTTCGTCTGATACAGAGAAAGGAGAAGAGGAGGGAGAGAGGAGAGAGACGGAGAGAGAAGCAATGTGAGAAGAGACGCTTGAAATGGGTTTTTATACTTCCACGAAAAATAACACATTTTTTTTGATAATGAGAGTCGAATTCGAGACCTCATTAAAAACTTCAACTGAGTTGCACGCGTGTTTTGTGTTTTGGATGTTTTTTGAAACACAATTTTTTTGTTTCCATTTTTTTCAAGACAACTAATATAAAACAAAAACAAAAATAATACCCAAACATGTCTTTATTTTTATTTTTGACAAAAATTAAAAACAAAAATACAAATCACAAGATAAAGACAGTTACCAAAACAGACCCTAAGTTCTTTGTCCTTTGTCCTTTGTCCTTTCTCCCGTCCTAAGTGCAAGTGCATTGAATATCTTCCGAAAAACACACCACCAACTCACAAGAATGTAAGGTAAGTTTATACCACCAAAACATATATAAATGCATAGAAAGTAAAATCAAATCTCAACCAAGACCCAAAAAACCCAAATCCATGTTTTCGAGGGAAAAAAGAGAGATCGGCAGGGGCTCCTAGGGGTACTAAAGGGTGAGATGGAATGGGAGATTGTCCAAAATTTTGGGGTGGATCAATGGATTGGGGGCGTTTTCTATGTTAGTGGGTGGCTGTAGGGGTGCATGGGTTGTGCATCACTGATGTGTGTGTTGGTGGGTGTGTGTATGTGCAGGTTATGGGTTGTGCAAAGCATCGATCGATTGGAAGTGAAGAAGGGGAAAAGAGGGGAAAAAGGAAGAAATATATATTTGGAGAGTGAGAGAGTAGTAGAGATGTCAATGAACCGAAGCGGGGGCGGGGCGTATAGTCTTCATCCCCGTACCTGCTTAAAAAACTTCGTCCATCCCCAGTCCACCTCCGCTAGCGGGTATAATTTTCATTCCCATCTCCGTCCACGGGTAAATTTATAATCCTCATTCTTGTCCCCGCTTCCCCCGTACCCGCCCAAGCCCAAGCTCAAATTCAAGCCAACATAATCCAACATTTTAAATAATCCAACATTATATACAACAAACAAAAAATTTGAACAACAATGAACAATATTTTCATAGCTAACTAGAATTACCACAACCGTTAATACTAACTTTAAATTATATTATGGTGAAACATGAACTATTAATGCTAACTTTAATTTTAAATTATAAAACTGTTAATGCAAGATTTACAGATGTAGCTAATAATGTCATACTGATATATGTATATGTATATATATAACGGGTAACGATAACGGGGACGGGGACGGGGCGGGGTAGGGTAAGTCTATCCCCGCCTTCATTTCTGCACGAGTTTATATAAGTATTTCCGTATACGTCCACCGTCCAATACATATAGTCTATTCTCGGTCTAAACAAGACGAGTTTGGATGAATACCTGTTTTTCTCCGGCCCACTGCCATCCTAGAGAATAGTGACGGTGGCTATTGGCATTGTTGCTGGCGGTACAGCTGGTTCTCCGTAGAGAAGAGCGAGTGGAGGACGAAGAGAGAAAGATAAAGAGATGTGGGATACAGAAAAGGGGTTATCGGACGCATGAGAGAAAAGAGAGAGGGAAGAAAGAGATTTGAAATTTGGTGAAGAACAGTTTTCTTTTTTTTTTTTAGTCTTTGGGGAAGAGAGAGCGAGGAGAGAGAGGTGAAATTTGGGAAAGAATAGTTTTTTTTTAGACTTTGGGGGTAAGAACGCTTGATTTGACAGAATTGGGCCCCACCACTGGGGGAATATGTAAGGATAAAAATTTAAAGTTATTAGATATTTTATTATCCTATACGATATGCATCGTGTGTAAATAAATATAAATAATATTACTTTTACAAATTATATATATATATATATATAATTAAATTAAATAATTAATTTATATTTTAATTAATTATTAATTTATTCTATAAATTTTTAAGTAATTAATTTATCATTTGTTTAGGTATCTTTTTTATTCTTTTAAGTATTTATACATCTAATTATATTATAAAATTATTAATTTTTATTTTTTTAAATAAATTGATTAGATCGTTTATAATATTATTATTTTATTTCATATCAAAAAAATAAAATATAACATATATTTAACGATATAATTCTAAATGGTAATTATATATGTAATAACTTAATATAGGAGTTTATTTTTTCGCTATGAATTGCACCCCATCCAAAGAGAAAATTTGCCGTTGAAGGATTGCAAAGCTACAGAGTCTAGATTGTTAATTTTACAAAATATTCTCTAACTTTAATAAAATAATATTTGTTACAATTACAAGCTTTTCTTGGTAAATGAAAAAGTAAAAAAATAATGGTACATTTCAAAGTTTACCAAAAATCTTCAAAAAATAATAGAAGAACTCTATTACTAATATAACTCTTAGTTAATTAGTCCTGGTAACATAATATTCACATTCATAATATGCTCTAATCCCAAATAATGTTACAAAAAATCCTAGTTTTTTTACAAAAAAAAATTAAAAACCTTAGGCCTACAATGAGTTTCAATGGACAACGATTTGTGTTTTCTATAAGTACCGATTCTTGCATTAATGAACAAAACACCGAGTGAACATAACCGAATTAAGTGTTTTTGTGAACCACAATGAAATAGTTGGTGTTATATATTTATTTTTATCTTTATCAATATCTTTATTTGTATTGAATATACATTATTTTGTTTAATTTATTTTTACAAATTATAAATTAAAATATAAAGATCATAAATATAATCTACCTCGTTTATTTGTAATTCGATGAATAGAGTTTGGCAATAGTAATAAGGGAAAGGCTTCGGTGCTGAAATTAATAATTATTTAAGGTCAAATTATAATTTTTTTAAGATATAAATTATAATTTTTAAACATCATGACTGATTATAATAAATTGAGATTAATAATAAAATTTTAATTTTTAAAAATCGAATTACACCTCCAAAAAAAAAAGTAAAGAAAAAATTTATGATCAATCACATGTACCTGTAATCGATCATGTTCTATTTGATCAACCATAAATTACTCCGGCACAATTGTAATTTTTTCCTTTTAACTTATAATTTTTCAATACGATATCTAACGCGGGACCGTAGACTTTCCTTAATGATAAAATCTGGTTCCGTCCTGAATGACAGAGAGCTATTGCATTCACCATAACAAGTGTCGACTAGGTAACGATCTTAACTGTCTAGTCTAATCTAATCACACACAACTCACGCACCATCGTGCTTTCCATTAGTCCATCTACATTCTACAGTGAAAGCCGCCTCGGTCTAGTCTATTCATTTCTCTCTCCCCCCACTTGTCCCACCAGTCTCATGAGTGTACCCCACGCGCCACCATAAAGTAATGCGTTATCGATCCAAATAGCATCAGCTACGGCCCCTACCTCCTCCTTTGTTCCTACACGTACACGTCCCATCTTCTCTCTCTCTNCCTTGCTGCTGACTATGTTTGTTTGTTTAAATATGTGTACTTAATCTCATAGGTGGTTTCGACACAGCTTACACCGCAGCTAGGTAATAATCATTGTGGGTTGCAAGATTAGAAGTAGTTCTAACACTTGAAGTATTTTGGGGTCACATAAATGTGAGAAATCTATTTCTGAATTTTGTTTTAGGGCATATGATAGAGCTGCAATTAAGTTTCGTGGACTTGATGCTGATATCAATTTTTGTCCCACTGATTATGAAGAAGATCTTAAGCAGGTTGGCAAGAATGAAAGCTAGTATCACTTGTTTAAGTGTTGTTTCTAGCTAGACCTTGATTGTCTAATACTCGTTTTCTTAATCATGCAGATGACGAACTTGTCAAAAGAAGAAGTTGTACACAAACTTCGTCGCCAAAGCTCTGGTTTCTCTAGAGGAAGTTCGAAATACAGGGGAGTTACACGGCATAAATGTGGTCGTTGGGAAGCACGCATGGGGCAATTTCTCGGCAAGAAGTAGGACCATTGAAACGAACTTCCATATTTGCCAATCATAGATGCAGCTGTTCAAATTTAGTGTGATAAATGATTTCGTGCCATTACAAATGTGTAAACTGAGAATTTTACTGAGTTGAAATGTAAGTAATGTTTCTCTGCAGGTACATCTATCTTGGGCTATATGACAGCGAGATAGAAGCTGCAAGGTCGCAATGACCATAGTTCATTCTCCCTTATCCCATATTTAATCTCGGTTTTCCTCTAACACTGCTTGGGAATCCATTTAACTTGTAAATTTTTTTTGTTCTATTAATTAGGGCTTATGACAAGGCTGCTATAAAATCCAATGGAAGGGAGGCAGTCACCAATTTTGATTGGAGGACATACGAAGGGGAGATAAGTTCCGAGACATATGTTGGTGGTAACACTTGTTACATGAATATCATTTTGTCTGATCCTTCTTGAAAGCCTCCCTTAATTTTCTTCTGTACATATTTGGCTATATTCTTTGTAAATCACTTGAGGAGTTGTTTGATCTACTCTCTGCAGGTAGCAATCATAACTTGGATCTGAACCTGGGCATTGCTCCCCCTCATTTTTCGGATGGCAAAAATGGGAACAGAACGGAAGATTTTCTTCTTCTGGGTGGCTTAGATGCCATGTCTGGGGCCGGAAGAGCAAAGGTAACTTAAAATTTGTCGTGCCAATAGTTTAGGCTGTTCAAACAGCTCTATGTTGCAAATGAGATACATCAAGTGTTCTGATAATCAATTTGCACAGATAACCTCATGTTTCTAAGGTCTTGAGTAACTTGCTTAGCAGGTGTCTTTTGTTCTCTTGCAGACTGGGTGCTCTCCTTCGTCAGCAGTGGGAACTCTGCCTCATGACCAAGTAGTGGTGTCCGAGCACTCTCCTCTCTACGGAAGTGTGAATTCCACTTTGTTTCCCTTCTCTAAGGTAAACTAAAAATCTTTTAATCGTACAATCCACTTAGTTTCTTGCATGAAGTGTACTTATCACGGGATAGAAAGGACGAAAAATTTCCCTGCTGGAAGCATTAAGCACGCATTCCTTCAAGTTCTTAATTGAATCCCTTTTTTAGGTTGCCATTATAATATTCGATCCTTTGACCATGATTACATGCTATGGAATGCTAAGCCCATAGCTGGTGTTTGTTGCTGGCCAAAATGTTAAACATAAAATTAATGTTACTTGAACAGATAATTCAAAATCTTCATCCTTGTTGAGCACCTTTTTTGTTCAGACCTCGACATTCAAGAAAAGAATTTTAAAGGGGATTTTGTTTTAGATGATGTGAGGCTTCCCCTCCCCCCCCAAAAAAAAAAACACACAAAAAAAAAAAATTCCCCCTAATTCGACCAAATCCCATTTTGGTTGGGACGATTAGGACTACTTTTTACCATAGGTAATTAATATTATTGACTGACAAGATATTGACAGAAAATTGAACCCTTTATTAGCTGTTTGACATTACCACCACTTCGGCTACCTGCAGGGAAGAGCAATAGAGAAGAGTATGAAAGTCAATCCCTCACTGAACTGGGCGTGGCAAATCCAGGACCCTCATTGTGGGGTCTCTCCAGGGCCTTTCTTCTCTACTGCAGCATCATCAGGATTCGCTAATTCAACCATGACTGCTTCCTCAGCTGCTGTTCATCAACCCCACTTTCTCAATACAACAATTCCCCCCCACCATTTTTCCCCATCAATCAAGGGTACTAACTTGTCCCATTACTGTTGCAGGAGCTGAAGTCACTAGCAGGTACAACACAACTAATCCGAATTTGCTTCCTTTGCATAGGGGGCAAAATGGGTTGGCAAACTAAGCAATAGGAACTGAATTTTATTGCTCATATTTCACTTTCTGAGGCATTCGATTTGTCTGTCTTCAGGGAAGCACAAAGGTTTTGTGGAGAAATTCTCAATATATGGCTGAATATTGTGAGGCAATGCTAATTGCATCATGTAACATTGCTATTATTTTTTAGGTGTTTTGACTGAATTCTACTGTAACTTTTGTATTTCTCTGTTGCTCATTTAGAGTTGGAATCCTCCATCACTGAATTTCTCTATAGTAATGCTACAATGTTTTGAATTTATAGGGATTATGGATCAGTGTTTCTAGAGGTGAGAGTGGATTGGACATAAAACAATGGTGTTTATAGAATTATTCAAAATGGCCTCGCATAATAGATTAGAATTGACTACCATTACTAGGTATGTAGGAGAACACCTATCATCAAAGTTGCCGAACCTAAGGCCTCTCAATTACACTTTTTTTTTAATGCTCAGTAATTGATGTCTAGACTTGTGTCGCCTATTTTCTCACAAGCTGACCTAGATCAAGTCTTCAAATGTATTAGGGTGATTACCCTTTAAGAAGTGTGGGAGGAGATTGAAGTTGTGACTTTTGAATTAGTAAAGGACAACCCAAACCACTTAATTACTTTAAAAGTTTGTTAATTACACTTTTATCCCTTGAAGATTGATCTTGATTTCACTTTGCCATCTCATCACACCTATTGATTTCAACCTCAATAATGTTATTTGGACTTAATTTATGGGTCCTAATAACTTCTGTAATCTATTATTAATCCAATGATTTTGAATGATTATGTCANATTTGGACTTAATTTATGGGTCCTAATAACTTCTGTAATCTATTATTAATCCAATGGTTATGAATGATTATGTTANATTAGAATTGACTACCATTACTAGGTATGTAGGAGAACACCTATCATCAAAGTTGCTGAACCTAAGGCCTATCAATTACACTTTTTTTTTAATGCTCAGTAATTGATGTCTAGACTTGTGTCGCCTATTTTCTCACAAGCTGACCTAGATCAAGTTTTCAAATGTATTAGGGTGATTACCCTTTAAGAAGTGTGGGAGGAGATTGAAGTTGTGACTTTTGAATTAGTAAAGGACAACCCAAACCACTTAATTACTTTAAAAGTTTGTTAATTACACTTTTATCCCTTGAAGATTGATCTTGATTTCACTTTGCCATCTCATCACACCTATTGATTTCAACCTCAATAATGTTATTTGGACTTAATTTATGGGTCCTAATAACTTCTGTAATCTATTATTAATCCAATGATTTTGAATGATTATGTCAATAAATTAAGTTCAAGTAATATGTTGATCTTTCGACATATTGTTTTTAACTATTAAAATCAGTAATACTTTGCATAAAGATTAAATTTTTTGGATCTAAAATAATGCTATCTACGATTTTTTAAAAATGCCCTTTAAATAAAGATAGACCGTGTAACTGTGTTGACAAGGCATTGTTTTTAAACTAAGTGTAGGATGGTGAGTAATGTGGTGTATTTGAGAATAATTATTTTGTATTTTGATGGTTAGTATAAAATTTATCCTGGAGTAGTTCTGACGAGTTTTCCGCAATCCCCGGCTTTGCTTTTAAGACTGATAAACCTGCAAGATATGAAAAAGAAGTTGTCTTTATTACTCGCCCTGAAAAATTTCCACATCTCTCTTTACTCTTGAATGTAAACTTAACCTGTCTAAAATTATTTTATATAATTATTTTATCATTTTCTAATTAATAATGATCATTCAAATCAAAATTAAATACTTCAATTAGATTTTGGCAATAACCATTATCATCTATGCTACTAATAAAAATACTTTAACATGAAAATTTTTTAATTTACTATTTTGCCCTTTTAAGAAATTATAAAGATTAGCATATCTTTTTGTATTTAAATATTTAATTTATAATTATATCGCTCTATGTTTAAATAACAAATTAATCTTTAACATATCATGTAAATCTTTTCATCTTTGCAAAATTTGTAGATGCTCATATTATTATTAACATGATATATAAAAAAATATTCTTTTTTTTTTTTCAAAATCCTATTATTAATACGTATCGATAACTTCATTTATATAATATAATCTCTGTTGTCAAAAAATTGATATATATATCTTTTTTCTCTTGTCTACAATACAAATACTTTAAGTATGATAAATATGAGATAAAAGTTAATTTAGGTATATAATTAATTTTTTTTTATGTATTCTATCGAATGTTTGGACGAAAACATTCACTTGCAATGCATGTGGTGCATTACTAAAAACTATAAAAACATGATGGTGGTATGACAAGAATATAACAAAAAAAAAAAATTGGTATCATATCACATACCTTTTTTTGGATGTTTACATTCTTTTTTGGGTGAATTTTACTAATTTTTAAAATACACTCACTTTTTAGGTTCATTTTTCATCTTTTAGGTGGAACTTATTATTTTTTTGGGTAAAATTTCTCTCATTTTTCAATACCAAAAAATAAAAATTCGATAACAATGTGTTTCCAAAATATAATCTTGAATTGTGATTTGAATTTGAGAAATACTATTTGGACCTTATTTGATAATTTTATTTAGGGAGCTAACGACGTACAACCATTAAATTAGTTGTGGACTTCATCTAATATTAAAATTTATAATTAATATAATAATTACATTAAAATTACATCATTAAGTCCCAAATAAAATTATATTGATTGCTCTTTGAATTTACAGGCCAATTTGGGAGGATGTAGACTCGATTTTAACAAATCGATGTTAAACCTTCAAAAGTCGCGCCTGTCACATATAGGAAACGATGGTCTGACCCGAATATTTCCCAATGCCTAGGGGAACTATAGAGAACAGTGAATTTGTAGTAGCTTTTATTGGAAAGCCCGGGTAATCACACAATGCCTCTATGTGGGACTGTTCCTGCTGGCCTACCCCATGATAGGTGGGGGCTCACTTATAATCTCTTGGATCTTGCCATGTGGTTTTAGTACATACATAATTTTACCATTTTACAATTTGAACAGACGTTGGAAGAGGAGGTTAGGGGTGTTAATCACGGTGCAACTTAGCTATGCCAAAACTCAATGTAAAAAACAAAAGCAGAGCTTCGATTGAGATTTTTAACAGAGAGATTTGAAAGCCGATCCTTAGGTCCATAGGATTCTAAAAAAAATTCACTTCCCAATTTTCTTTTGAATTAGATATCTGTTAAAGATCAAAGTAATAAATATAACTAATGTCCTTTAAAAATTACAAAAAATAACGATAATACCATCACCTAATTAAAACACATATTCTAAAAAAGTACGATGGGTACACTTAAACACAAATTGTCAGACAAGTACACTAAAATATAGATTGTCAGACAAGTACACTAAAACAAAGTTCATCAGATAGATACCATAAAACACATAATATACATTCTTCTTTATAAACACAGATGGTCAGACATGTATACTAAAATACAGATCATTAATGTACATTTTTCTCCATAAACATAGATCGTTAGACAGGTACATTAAAACACAAATCATCAGACATCGTCATAATATTTTTTCTTCTTTATAAACACAGATCGTTAATGATGATACTCATAACAATTCCAAGTATGAGCCTAGACGCGGAGGTCGGACAAGCAGGTCAGACCAGGAGGTCGGAAAAGATGCGCAGAGCTTAGAGGATCATATCTGGAGCTCCCTTCCATGCATGCCAGCAATGGAAAGGATGAGGGAGCTGCTAAATAACAACGAAAATCTTATAGATGGCAAAGGGCCATATTTATGGGGCAAAATCCTTAAATAGCAAAGATCCTCTCCCAAGATCAAGATGAGTACCTCGGGTAAATAACGAGGATCTCGGCACAGATCCTACAGAATTAGGAACAGCCCTATAAATATCATGTAACTCCCCCAAGACAAAAGGGGGATCCCAATAACATATACTCTATCTTGTGAACTTTCTGAATGAGAAGAAAAGAAAAAAAATGAACAAGAATCTCCATTGAAGAGTGAATTAGTCGAGCTCCTCAGTTGGTGAACCACTATAATTCTATTGTGTCAACCCCACATTCCTATTTTCTTTGATACTGTTCTTCACTGTTTCGAGTCTTGAAGCTCAGATCCTAGGATACCGATCATCTCATCTGTTCATCACCATAAATCTACCTCACATTAATTTACAGTTTGGCGCTGTCTGTGGGAACGATTGTTCCTGTTACAAATACGCTAATCTTTCAGTGACTGATGGTTTCAACTCGTAACATGAGCAGAAGTCAAACCAATCTACCACGAATGAAAGAACAACAAGAAGCCGCCAACGACAGACAACCTGAGAACGTTCTAGAGACAAATCCCCCCATAGGGAATCCCCACTCAAATAATGAGTTGGAGGCCCTTCGCTTAGTTAATCAACGCCTGATACGACAGAATGAAGAGCTTCTGAAGCTCTTGCAACGCCCTCAGGAGGCACGACCGGCCCAAGAAGGTCAGAATAACCCCCTCACGGAGAGCAGCAACTCCTCGATTCCCTCAGAAAAGTTGATGAAAGAGGGGAAAACAGTCAGACCTAGGAACAAAATCCTCATCCACTCCTAAGGAATGGACGCAACGAAGAGGTGCAAAGTCAAAACGTTGGGGGCGAAAGGAATGGTTTTCTCCCCTATCAACAGGAGAGGAGAGAGCAGTACTGGGAACAATGCTTTAATAGCATCCAACAAGAGCTCAGCCAAATGAAGGAAGCTGTGAAGGGCAAGGCTCCGATTACAATGGATGCCCTGGTGTAATAAATTGAGTCACCATTCACCGCAGGAATGTTGCATTTTTCCCTCCCCCCAAAGTTCTGGATGCCGTAGATAGAGGCCTTTGATGGGACAAAGGACCCCGTGGACCACCTAAATACTTACAAGAACTAGATGGAGCTCCACGTATACCAGGACCCAGTGCATTGTAGAGCCTTCGCCATCACGCTAAAAGGGTCAGCCCTGGCATGGTTCAAAAGGCTCCCCCCAGCCTCGATCTCCTCCTTTAAAGAGCTTTCTATATCCTTTGTATCTCATTTCATAGGAGCTTGGATATACAGAAAATCTAGCTACCACTTATTGAACGTGAAACAAGGGCCCCAAGAGAACCTCAGGTCTTATGTCCAGCGGTTCAATTCAGAATCTTTGAAAGTAATGTCCCAGATTAGAAGTTTGCCATTACAATGTTTAT